TTTGGGAGGTAATCATTTCATAGTGTTTAAATATACCAAGTGGGCTTCTCTGGTGGTTCAGAGGGTAAAGCGTCTGCCTGCAATGCGGGAGACCTGGGTTCGATTCCTGAATCGGGAAGATCCCCTGGAGAAGGAAATAGCGACCCACTCCAGTACCGTGGCCTGGAAAATCCCACGGACAGAGAAGCCTGGTAGGCTACAGTCCATGGGGTGGCAAAGAGTCGGACATGACTGAGCGACTTCAGTTTCTCTTTTTCTTTCTAAATATAGCAAAACATTACATTGTACACTTTAAGTATATATAATTTTGTCAATCATACCTCAGTAAAGCTGGGGGAAAAAATGTGTAGTAAATAGGCTATAAAACTCTCAGCATAAAAATACAGTCATGCTCAAAACACTGATCCCTAGAGGAAAAGTCACCAGATTAACAGTGATTGCATTTGGAAGTCGATTGTGTACAAACTTCTTTCTGAAGAAAATGGTGACTATGAGTTGAATAAATGGTGAATATGACATGTCTGAGGTAGAGTGAAGAAATAACTGACAAAAGCAAAATTAAATATTTTTTAATTATGAAATAGTTTAAATATACAGAAAGATACAGAGAATAAAACCCCACAACCAGCTTTATTATTTTAGAAGAATTGGCCATGATTGCTTATTTTTTCAATAAATGATTTCTCATTTTTCTCCCTCTCCAGAGGTCATCACAACTTGATGATTATTTCCATGAATGTTATTACACTATTTTCATATGGTATTCAGCCATGAAAAAATACATAATTTTGATTTGCATGTTTTCAAACTTTATATAAATAAGTGGAACCACATACAAAATACCTCCTAGTTCAGTTTCAGTACTGTTTCTCAGATGTATCCATGTTGATAGAAGTATCTCTAGTTCCTTCATTTCAACTTCAAGTCTAACATTTAAACCCCAATGATTTTTTTTGATTGCCTAAAACTTTTCATTTCTACAAACACTGAAATGGGTCTTCATGTACATCTTCCTGAACATGAGAGGCTCTGTAGAGGTTTTAGTTGAATTTCTGGGTCAAAGATTATCCATATCTTCAACTTTACTAGATACTGACATTCTTTTTTAAAAAAACTACAGTAAGTCCCCTACACAGGAATGAGTTCTGTTCCAAGAGAATGTTTGTAAGTCCAGTTTTTCCAAGTCTGACTAAGTTAGCCTGGGTACCCAACTGACACAATTGGCTATATAGAACTCTACTGTAATAGTTTTCCCTGGAGATGGGAATGAATGGCAACCCACTCCAGTATTCTTGCCTCGAGAATTCTGTGGACTTTTCACACAAATACATAAAAAGCAAAAAATAAACACATTTTAAATCTTATAGTACAGTACCTTGAAAAGTATAGTAGTACAGTAAAACAGCTGGCATAACGGGGGCTGGCGTCAAGGGAACAGGCAAGAATTACTGACTGGAGGAGGGAAATAGGATATGATAGAGCTGAACGATTGTCAGCAATAGAAGATATCAGCTACATCACTACCTGCTTTTATGCTTGCTTCTGGACATCCTGGATTTGAAATAAAGATACTGTACTACTGTGCTCTATACTGTGAAGTACACAAAAGCACAGCTACTTACAGAGGGTGGACGCATGTCACAAGGTATGCCAGACATGTGAACTAACTTAATGACTAGACATGTGAATGCACATACACATCTTTGAAAGCTCGCAACTTCGTTTGTATGTAGTGGACTTACTGTATTTTCAACTGCATTGTATCATGATTTCTATTGCTCCACATCTTTCCAGTAATTAGTACTGTGATGCTTTTGAAATAGTTCATTGTGATTTTGTTTCCCTCACTGCCATGATGTATATTGTCAATTCTTTTACTACTCCCAAATCCATTCTCTCTACTGGTATTTAAATCATCTTTATCATATGCAAATAGATTAGATTCAATAATTTTATTGGTGTTTTTTAGAATTCACACTTCATAGATTAATTTTAAAAGTCTTAAGATTTGGTGTGAAATTAAAGGGCAAAAAGGCCTATTGAGGAATTTTGTTGGAATTGCGGTGAATTTGTTAACCAGAAATAATGGATCTTTATTGTCTTGAGTCTCTCCAGCCTAGGCTACATAATACCCTTTGATTTATTTTGTTATTCTTCAGTTTTCTGGACCTAGAAAATCTATTGTTTTAACTCCTTGAGGATCTGGTCTTTGTATCGATCATGTTGTCTCCTCATGTCTACATCAGTGTGTGGCAAACAGCAGCTACTCAATCTTCACTGAATGAATGAAACTGTGTATATATATGTGTGTGTGTGTGTGTGTGTGTGTGGTTTGTAATTTTCTTCTCTCAATCCCCTTTTGATTTGTTTTATAATCACCTGATAAAAATTTATAAACTTTGTATTTTTTTCTGTAGTATGAAACAATTTAGATAAAATCACCTAGATTAACCCATACTATTACTTAGGACTGATGTCTTTTTATGCTGCAGTATGAATTTCTTGAGGTTTTGGAGTTAACTGCAATACTCTCTGTGCTTGATCTAAATAGAAGTTCTGTATTTTTCTCAGTGAACCTTCATTTTCTTTAATTAGTTTATCTAATTCTCTTTAGAAACCTCCTAAAACCAGCTGTGTTATATAGTTCTACTTCTATTACTTGCCTATAGTAAAAACACTCCTACTTATATTCTAAAGTTTTTAGGTTGTCCCAGTTGTGACCTGCTGCTTTTCATGGATGTTCTTCTTTGTCTACTAAGGAATCTTGTTTTAGCTGTAAGGATTAAATGAGTTAATATATGTTGAGTATGTAGAATAGTGCCTGGTGCATAGTAGGCACTCGATAATGTTAGCTATTATTATTTAATCAAAGATCTGCTATATTTAATGCACTAGGTGAAGTACTTTGCATGCAAATTTCTTACTTAATATGCACCAATCTACAATTTCATTTAATACTCATATTTCTACACTACAGTATCCTTTATTATCCGTATTTTAAGAATTAAAGAAAACCCTGAGTTGCAGATAAGTCAAGCAAATTACTCAAATTCACACAAAGCCAGAATAGTAGGAGAGCTATGATTTTCCAGAATCTAAGCTCTTAGTCCTGGTAAGTGCCTAGATCTGAGAGAGAAACAAATAAAATAAGGCTGAAAGGTATATAGGAACTAGTTAATGAAGCTCCTCATAGACAATTTTAAAGACTGTAGATGTTAAAGAACAACAGCAAGGCAGTGATGTATTATTAAACTTGAAAATGATCATTTTGCATGCATGGTGGGAAATGAATTTAAGGGGACCAAACGTTAATACAGGAAGATCTGTTAGAAAGCTATAGAGTGATCCTCATGATTGGTCAACAGAAACTAATAGAATTCTATAGCTGAAACTACCATTTAGTAGTCACTTTTGAAAATCTAGATGCCCATTAGAAATATCTTGGAAATTTTTAAAAAACACAAATGCCCAGGTATTACTTTTTTCCCCCAAACTCCAGATGTGATTCTAATGAGCAGCCATGTTTAAGAACAACTGGACTATATGATGATCTTTTATATCTAGTTTCACTTTTTCTATTTCATATTCAGTTTTCCCATTTCATTTACTTGGTTTTCCAATCTCTGTCTCATTTTTTGTTCTTTCTCAAGCCTTTATCAAGTGTAGTAAAAAAGCTTTTGTAAACATACATACATACATATATATAATATGTATAATATATATTTTAGAAAATATGAATTTTTGCTTAGCTAAAAAATTTATGACATTTTGGCTCCACTTGTTTGACTAAGTATGAATAGAATGCTAGATTTCTAATTTATATTCACTCAAAACTTTGATATAGTCCCATTTATTCTGGCATCTAGTATTACTGCTAAAAGTCTAGAAAGCTTATTATTTTAGTGATTTTTTAAAAAGTTTTTTGAATGATGCTTGAAACTTCAATTCCGAGAATATAAAGAAATACTATGTTGTTAAAAAAACAACCAACCAAAAAGAAATTAACATGTGATACAGTAACTAAAGTATAGATGTGGTTCAAATTTCACAAAATCTTATGCTAGAGCCCATTATTAGTCTTCGTATCTTACTCAAGATTCCACATTGTATTTAGTTGCATTGAGTATGAAAGAAATTCTGATAAATTCTCTTTTCATTTTTATTCTGCTACAAATATTTTCTAATTTTCCTTATAATGGTTTCTTAGATACATCCATCATTTAAAAATGGCCATTTAATTTCCAAATACATGGGTTTTTTAAAGTATCCTTGATATTAATTTCTAATTTTGATATTAATTTCTCATTTACATGCTTGCTTCTCTGCAATCACCCTCTGTGTTTTTCTAACCTTTTAACTTCATTGAGGCTTTTGATGGCTAAGTCAAAGATCTCTCTTTGTAAATGTCACATTACACTTGAAAATGTGTAGGTTTTTTCTTTTTTTGTGTAGGTTATTTTCAAATATCTTTTGATATTGATTCCTAACATAATTCCACAGTGATAAGAGAACAGACTCTGTATGATTTCAAAACTTTTAGACCATGAAACTTTTGCACCTCATTTTACATCCCTGGATATGTTACAGAGTCTCTTGGTTTATAGTCTATGGGAACTTCAATAGAACTTATATCCTACTGTTGTGTGAAAATTATATGAATCTTAATTATGTTGAATTGGTTCATAGTGCTTTTCTATTCTACTATATCCTTCTACTTTTCTGCCTATTCACTCTATTAATTTTTGAGAGTTTGATATTGAAACTCCAACTAAAAATCTTAATTTATCTACTTAAAAAAATAATTGTAATATATAGTGGAACTATATAACTTTGTTTTGTATTTTCCAAGTCTCCTGTAAATGTGTTATCATACTTTCATAATTTAAAAAATTAAAAAAAAAAGACAGCTATAGAGTGATCCATGTGAGATGAGTCTTAAACTAGGATGGCAGTATTAGAGATGCAGAGAGTATAAATTCCAAAAGTATTTATGAAATAGTCTACAGGACTTGGTGATTGACTGGATTGGGTGGTGAGAGTGACTCCCCAAGATGGATTCTCTGATGATGAGCAAGGTGTGCATGCTGCCTGAAAGTTTTCTTGCATTCCTTGCATTCATAGGGTCTCTCTCCAGTATGAATTCTCTGGTGTTGGGCAAGGGATCCACAGTAACTAAAAGCCTTTCCACAAACATTACATTCATAAGGCTTCTCTCCAGTATGAACTCTCTGATGTTGAGTAAGGGATGAATCATTGCTAAAAGCCTTCCCACATTTAATACATTCGTAGGGTTTCTCTCCAGTATGAACTCTCTGATGTTGAGCAAGGTAGGCAATCTGGCTGAATGCTTTCCTACATTGCTGACATTTATAAGGTTTTTCTCCAGTATGAATTCTCTGATGTTGAGCAAGGTGTGAATTCTGGCTGAAGGCCTTCCCACATTCCTTACATTCATAGGGTCTCTCTCCAGTATGTATTCTCTGATGTACAGTAAGGTATGCACGAAGGCTAAATGCTTTCCCGCAGACATTACATTCATAAGGTTTCTCACCAGTATGAACTCTCTGGTGTTGAGCAATAGATGATCTATTGCTAAATGCTTTCCCACATTCAATACATTCATAGGGTTTCTCTCCAGTATGGACTCTCTGATGTTGAGCAAGGTAAGCAAACTGGCTGAAGGCTTTCCTACACACCTTGCATTCATAAGGTTTTTCTCCAGTATGAACTCTCAGGTGTTGAACGAGGTGTGCATTCTGACTGAAGGCTTTCCTACATTCCTTACACTCATAAGGTTTTTCTCCAGTATGAATCCTCTGATGTTGAACAAGATTTGATCTCTGGCTGAATGCTTTCCCACATTCTACACATTTATAGGGTTTCTCTCCAGTATGAATTCTTTGATGAAGAGTAAGGGATGAGCTCTGGCTGAAAACTTTTTCACAGTCATTACATTTCAAAAGTTTCTTCTCTGTATAGATACTCTTGGGCTTAATGGCAACTAATTTTTTTTTAAAGCTTTTATGTGTGTTATGTTTATGTATTTTCTCCTCTTTGGGGATTATCTGATGTGTATGAAGTAGTGTGTTGGGATGGAAACTTTTCCAAGTTTTGTTATATTCTTGTACTCTTTCATCAACAGGGGCTTCTTCATGAGTGATTGTCTCTTCCTTGAAACATGCTTTCTGATTCATTGGTTGCCCTTCAAGATGGCCCTCACATTTCCATTCTTCTTTCAAACTGGAGTACTCAAGGCCATAGCTTGTAAGTTTTTCTATTACCTTCTGAGATGATTGTGGTTCATAAATGTCCTGCTTTGGGGTTAATTCTTCAGTCTCACACATAGATTCCCAATCTGAAAAATAATAATAATAAAAAATTCTCCTCTATTAAGTACAAGGAAGTACATTTATAAAAGTGCATCCTAAAGTGTGTGAATTTAACAGCAAATAAGACCCACAAGAACACTGGTTTTTGTAGTTCTGAAGAGTGCCAAAACAATAACTAAAAATAAGTCATGGAGTAACTGGAGGAGTAGAGTGGAGAAGACTCTTGAGAGTCCCTTGGACTGCAAAGAGGTCAAACCAGTCAGTCCTAAAGGAAATCAACCCTGAATATTCATTGGAAAGACTGATACTGAAGCTCCAATACGTTGGCCATCTGATGTGAGAGCTGACTCACTGGAAAAGACCCTGATACTGGGAAAGGTTGAGGGCATGAGGAGAAGGGGGCAACAGAGGATGAGATGGTTGGATGGCATCACTGACTCAATGGACATGAGTTTGAGCAAACTCCAGGAGACAGTGAAGGACAGGGAAGTCTGATGTGCTGTTGTCCATGGTGTCACAAAGAGTTGGACACGACTGGATGGCTGAACCACAACAACAAACTCGAGGAAGTATGATTAGAATTATAAGGAAATCAATACAGTAAATCATAGGTCAAGATGGATTTGTGTAGGTGGTTGGACCTAGTTATAATTTTATGCATGTATGAATAATACAGGAACTGAAATAATCTCTACTCTTACAGTTACTTCTTTCAAGAACATTCATTGATCCTTGTGCCAGGTACAAGTTTTGAAAGAAATGAAGATCCTTACCTTCATGGATCTTACATTCTTACATTCTTGGGGAGACCAGAAATAAATGCTAAATAAAGTAAATTTTATTGTATGTTAGAAGGTACTAAGTGCTATGGAAAAAGAAAAGCAGGATAAGAGAGATCAGGAGTGATGGTGAAGTCAAAGGAGGGAATCATTAATAAGTTAACACTGAAGCAAAGAATTGAAGGAAGTGAAAATGTTAGTCACTTAGATATTCAGAGAAAGAACATTCTGGACAGAAGAAACAGCCTAAAAGCAAAGGCATGTTTGGTTTTTCTGAAGAATAACAAGAAGGTCAATGTGGCTAGAGAGGGCTGAGATGAAGTCAGAGGTAAAGGATAATTAGATTATTTAAGCTTTATAGGCTTCCTAAGGAACTTGGCTTTTACTCTGAGTGAGATGGAGAGCCACTGAAGTGGTATGAGTACAGAAGTGACATCTAGTTACAGTTTAATGAAATTATTCCAACATAAAGATATTCAGGAAAAGAGGAGAAACCAAAAGATATTAAGAAGGGCAAATGTAAGCAAAAAAAAAATCAGAGGTGATAACATTAATACCACATGATATTAAAGGTTCTAATAAAAATCAACTTGTTCAATGATTTATACTGAAAAAGAATAAAATACACTTTCACAGTAACATACACAGTTTGGAATATATTATTAAGAAATGACACAAAGGGAATTCTCTGGCTGTCTAGGGGTTAGGATTCCATGCTTTCACTGTGGAGGGTCAGGTTCAATCCCTGGTCAGGGAACTACAATCTTGGAAACCACACACAGCAGATAAGAAGAAGAAAGAAATGTCATGAAAATAATTAATAAAACAATGGCTAATAACAGCAACCATTAATAAGAATTATCTTTCTTTATATATAAAGTATACATTGGGACTCACAAAACACCACATAGATAAATAAAAGGCACATAATAGAATATAGAAGCTATATGGGAAAGTATTATACTATTTATACTTCTTTTTCAAATAAGAATATTATCTTGCAATTTTAGAATCAATTTTAAAAAGCAATAGAAGAAAGCATAAGGAAAAAACTTTACAATTCTAATAAGGGACCACCCCCTAAAAACTGAATAAATGGAGAAGATGCACACCTTGCTTTTTATATATGAGAAACCAACATGGTAAAGCTACAAAGTCTCATTAAATTTACTTATTATGTTCATTCAATTACAGTCAGAGCCTACTGTGATTTCTTAAAAGAACTGTGCAATAAAGAATGTGGCAGGCCTTTGTCCCTGTTTCCCAAGAGGTAACCTTTAAGTCATCTGAACTCCTGGAAGGAGGTCTTTGTTATTCATGGTGAGCCTCTTGGACCACACCTGATAGTTGACACTAATAAGGTGACTCACGATGACTCCTTAGGCAGTTCTTGCTAAGGAGATGACTCAGGCTGGAGGCAAACCATGTTGGAAAGACCAACTGTATGATCAGAGGGTTGGAGCTTTGAGCCACCATATCAGTCTGACTTTTGGGAAAGGAAGAAAGGCTTGGAGATTGAGTCACCTTGGGTAATGATTCACTCAGTCATGCCTACATACTGAAACAAAACAAAACTAACCTCCCCCTGCCACCCCGCCCCCCCAAAACACAAAAAACTCTGGATACTGAAGCTCAAGAGAGCTTCCCTGGCTGGTAATATTCTTTTGAAAACTGAGATGCCTGATGGGCCCTTATGACAACTGAAACCTTACATTTGCAACTCTCCCAGCCTTCCACCTTTGATGCCTCTCCTTTTGGCTAATTCTGATATGTAGTCTTTGTTACAGTAAAAGTGTAATCATAATAATATGCTTGAGTTCTGTGAGTCATTCTAGTGAATTATCAAACCTGAGGGTGACTGTAGGCATTCTCAAATGTGCAGCCAGCTGGTCAGAAATGAGGGTGGCCCCAAGGATGCCCCAACTTGCAGCTGGTGTCTGAAATAAGCACAATCTTATGGAATGCTGTCCTTTCAGATTTTACAGTTTGGCAAACTCATTGCAAGAATTTTTTTCTTTTTTTGAGGAAATTCCCTGGTGGTCCAGAGGTTAGCACTTAACACTTTCACTATCATGGGCCTGGGTTCAATCCCTGATCGGGGAACTAAGATGCTGTGAGCCAAACAGTATGGCCAAAACAAAAATATTGTGACTTTAAAAAAAAATTCTTTTTAATTCTAAAGTACACCAAAAAATATACATAAATCTAGGATAGACTATATGTTAGCCCATAAAACAATCTTAATAAATTTTCAAAGATTTAAATCATACTAAGTATCTTTCTTAATCATAATGGACTGAAACTATAAATCAATAGCAACATAAAAACTGGAAAATCCACAAATACATGGAAATTAAACAGCACACATTTATACAACCAGTGGGTCAAAGAAGAAATCACAGAGGAATTTAAAAATAGCTTACAACAAATGAAAATAAAAATGCAACATACCAAAATTTATGGGATGCATCAGAAATAGTTATAGCTGTGAAGTTTTACATCACAAAAGAAGAAAAATATCAAATAAATATTAACAAACTAGAAAAAGAGCAAACTAAACCAAATGTAGAAGAAAAAATAACAAAGATTCAAGCAGAGATAAACCAAACAGAAAATTTAAAAAGCAATAGAAAGAATCAATTAAACCAAGAGTTTGTTTTTCAGTAAGATCAACAAAACTGATGAACCTTTAGACTGACTAATTAAAAAGAGCAATTCAACTGAAGTCAGAAATTACTCCAGTCAGAGCAATTAGGCAAGAAAAGCAAATAAAAAGCACTGAAATTAGAAATGAGGAAATAAAATTATTTCCATTTTTAGACAACATGATCTTACACACAGACATTCTTAAGACTCCACAAAAGAAAAACACTTTTTATAACAAACTCAGCACAGAATCAGAATACAAAGTCAACACACACCAATCAGTTGCATTTCTATACATTAACAATGAACAATCTGAAAAGAAAATTAAGAAAACAACTCCATTTACCACAGCAACAAAAAGAATAAAATACTTCAGAATTAATCAAGGTGAAAGACTTATACAATGAAAACTATAAAACATTGGTGAAAGAAATTAAAAGATAACTGTAAATAAATGGAGACATCCTGTGTTCATGGATTAGAAGTTAACACTGTTAAGATGTCCACACTACCCAAAGCTATCTACAGATTCAATGCAATACCTATCAAAATCCCAGTGATTTCTCCAGAAATAGAAAAATCCTAAAATTCATATGTAATCTTAATGGACTCTGAATAGTCAAAAGAATCTTGAAAAAGAAAAAGGTAGTTGGAGGTGTCACACTTCCTGATTTCAAAACATATTACAAAGCTACAGTACACAAAACACTGTGATATGACATAAAGATATATAATATGTACATATATATATACACACACCAATGGAATAGCAAATAGACAGCTCAGAAATAAATCCTTATATATATTGTCAAATGATTTTTGATGAGCGTGCCAAGACCTTTCCATGGGGAAAAGGACAGGCTTTTCAATAAATGATGCTAGAAAAATTAAATATCCACATGCAAAACAAAGAAGTTGTTACACCACACATAAAAATTAACTCAAAATGGATAAAAGACTTAACCGAGAACTTAAAACTAAAATACTCTTAGAAGGAAACATAGGGAAAAATCTTCATGACATTATATTTAGCAATGATTTATTGGTTATGATACCAAAAGTATAGGTAATAAAAGAAAAAAGTAGACAAATTGAACTTCATGAAAATTAAAGACTTACTGTGCATAAAGGACACAATCAACAGAGTGAAAGGCAACCCAAAGAGATTATGGGAGAAAATATTTGCCAATTATGTATCTGAAAAGAGGTTAATATTCAGAATACATAAAGAACTGCTAAACTCAACAATAACACAATTAGATTATAAGACTGGACAAAAAAATGTTTAGCGATATACTGTTCACAAAAGAAACACATAGAGAGTAAAGGAGTGAAGAAAACTACACTAAAGAAATAGTAACAAAAGCAGGCCTTTATAAAGTTCTATCAAGCTAAATAGTAAAGGGAAGAATCATCACTAAAGAGTAATAATAATAAAAAATAAATAAATAAATAAAGAGTAATAATAATAGAAGAATTCACCAAAAGATAATCTTTCTGGGATTACCAGAAAGATAATCCCCAAAACATATTATAAAACACTTTCATAATACTGCTCACGGAGACTTCTTTAAAAAATCAGTAGACTCAGAATTGACCAG